ATATTGCACTTAGCTAGTGTAATATTTCACTTTTGAAACTTTTACTTAAGTACTATTTGGATGTGAAATTATTTTCCTATATAAGTAGGTAGAAAAAATAATTGTGGCTTAGTCAAACAGAATAGCTCCATGAGTGAAAAACTGTCAGATTAAAAAGCCAATGTGCATGGTGGTCAAGAAATTAGACCAAGAGGTACAAGATACAGAGAGGAGAGCATGAGAGCCCTACCCATCATAAGTGGCACCATCAGAACAGGGAGTTTTTCTGGATACATTTTATGGTCTCTTATTTATAAAATGAAATCAACACAACTCAAAAATACACCTTAGTGGTAGTAGAAAGGTTAAATACAAAAGAAAAGCTATAACTTTCAAAAGAAGAATTTGCTGCTTTAAATCATGAAAGCCTTTACGTTAAATTCTTCCCCTAACACACACAAGCACCCTCCAGTGAATTCAAATAGCCTAAGCACCTCTGGGGAAAATCCTAGCACAGCAATGACAGACAATATGGCGGCCATTAGCACTGTCACACCATGCACATGATTTTACTGGGTATTCTCAAGTGCTTATACCAGGTATTACAAACAACAGAGAGTACTTATACTTCTAAAATTCACTTACTGGTTCTATCTTCAGGCATTTGCCCCCTATTTTCCATATAAAATAGCTTTGACAAGCTTTAGTACTCAGGTATTACTTATTCTGAAGTAGCCTAGAAATGGTATAGCATCATTGCAAAGGATTATTATGATGTTCTATTCAAGGAAGGCAAATTAAAAGTAACCTAATGTAAATAAATAAATAAGAAAAAAAAAGTAACCCAATGTGTTTATAATGCCATCTATCCAGGAAAATGGGATGTTGTATGTTAGAGTCTGTAAACAAGTCTGGATGGCGCCTGGTATTTTGCCAGAGGGAGTGGTTTGTGAAGTAACACCATCGAGCCATTAAGTGTGGAGATTCCTTATTGGTTGACTGCTGTATCTAGTTTATGTTAATTAAGATAAGCTGTGTGAATGTGTATATACCACTCCTGTCCTACAATAAAAGGCTCCAACTCCTGCTATATCAATGTACACAAGTTGTTCATCACCCCTGGGTTATTTTGCTGCAGCTGGACTGCGGCAGTTGTGTGTCATGTATTTTTATTTGCACACATGTGCATACAGATATGTCACAGTTGACATATCTCATACATACACCATAACTCAATGACAAAGAGTTAAAGGCAATGAGTATCCCTAAACCACATTTAATATTATTACTGTAGTGTTTTCCTAAAGCACTGCAAAACTTAAAAGTAGTTGATTTTACCAAGGATGCTTATTTTATTAGCCAGTTATACCTCCTGTGCTCGGCTTGAAGGATTCTGGCTCTTTCCTCTTCTTGCTGCTGTCGTTTAGGTTCCAGTAATTTATTCTAGGAACAATAAAAGTTTTAAAATATGGTTTTCAATTAACATGAYTGTACAGAAGACAYCCAAATCAATTTCATATTTAACCTTAGCTGGTGCAATATTTCACTTTTGAAACTTTTACTTAAGTACTATTTGGATGTGAAATTATTTTCCTRTATAAGTAGGTAGCAAAAATAATTGTGGCTTAGTCAAACAGAATAGCTCCATGAGTGAAAAACTGTCAGTTAAATAGCCAATGTGCAATGGTCAAGAAATTAGACCAGGAGGTACAAGATATGGAGAGGAAAATACAATGTGACTCAAACTCATCTGTGTCTTACAAAAAAAAAAATCAAATTAGTTCCTTTCAGAGTATCACACAATGCTATTTCTTATTATTTCTATGGCACTTCTTTCCTAATAAATTCATAGCAACTTACAAATAAATATTGGGTTCACTTGATGCAATTCTATTGGTGAAGCATTTTCCTTCCTGGATAACAAGCACTTGTCTGTTATTGGTTAGATACTAGCAGAATTTTGAGTTCCCTCAAAGGAATACTTTGCTTCAAATAGATCACATTACTATAACTAAATCTCTAGCTTTCAACATCCTGATTATCTCTTGAAAGAGGCAACTTCTTCCAGACTCAGTTACCACGTTTATAGTCTCATACCAAAGAACTAGGTGCCATGAGTTCTCTAGCCTTCAAACTTCCTGGAGAAAAGTCTAAAATAAACTTAAAATTCAGATTGACATTTATAAAACTTTATTCAAAGGCCATCTATATCCATAGTTCCCAAAATAATAACACCTGTTACTTACACTGTGATTTTTTTCAAATACATTGCTCATCCCATCAGTCCCTGACAAATAATAAATAATCCTAATTCTTACATAGCTCCAGAGCAAGGGAAAATTAGAACATTTTCAAAATAATTGAATAATACTTATTCATTCTTAATAAGCCTTAAGAACCTAGATGCCAAACCTTGAGCTAGGGTCTCACTCTTCCATAATGGCTGGAAGTGTTCCGTTTAACTTTTATCACTTTAACATATGATATACCTTTAAAAGCCCACCAACTAGCAATACAATTTATTAATACTACCAAGACTTATACTAAAATAAAACCAAATCCTGTGCTCTCCTATCCCTCTACAACCACCTTCAACTCCTGTGTATGGTTTTATCTGTTAAAATTATCTCCTCAATAGCATGTAGATTCTTCTATTTATTCATTTTTAATGGCATTTTTTTTTACTTCCTACTGTAGAAAAAGATTTCTCTATTTCTACCTCTACCCCAACCCCAACTTCCCCTCCTGGTGTACCTCATTCTCAGCCTTACAACGTTTTTAACGTTCACTGTGGTGGTGAGGGGGGGGTCTATAGCTCCTGGCTTTAGGCTTCTAATTTATCCTTCTGTTTTCAGGTGCAGCTTGCAGAGGTGCTGGGTACCTCCAACACCTGAACTTTAATCAACTTGTGTTTTACTGCTCCTTGCAAAAGATTTCTGGTTTTTCCTGTTTCACTAATTATCTACTTCCACCTGTTACACTGAACATCTACTTTCCCACATCAAAAATTTGGCTGTTTTGTTTCTTTTTTCTGTAGTTTGTCTGTTCTTTTGTTCTTATAAGTTTATGCCTTTAAAAAAATTCCTGTATTGTTTTTTTTCTTGGTGGAACATGTGGAGAGGAGGACTGGATATAAGGAAATAACGTATTTTTAAAGTATGATATTTAACTAGAAGATGTTATCATTTTCAAATAATTTTTTATCCAAAATTCTGTTACTGGACCCTCACAAGAATTCTCAAAGGTAGGCAGGTAAACAAGTATTATTTGATAAGTGAAAAAGCAATATTAGGCTTGTATTCCAGATGAGAAAACAGGATTGAAGATACAGTTTAGGTTGTCAAAAGCTAAACAGCTCACTAGTAGCAAAATAAAACTGGGGCTTAGGTTTTCTTGTATCTAATCATTTTCTGCAAGATGCATCCAAAATAAGCAATCAGGAATAAGGATAACTTCATAGCAGTTTATGGTACTCAAGTATGAACATCCATGTCCAGGATTTGGGGATCCATTCACATTTAAATGTATTAGCAGAACATATCTAACAGTGTCTAAGTCAAAATCCTTCTTGTCAAAAGATGTTAATTATTTTATATCCATTACCCCATTTTTTACAAGAAAAACTTTAATAGCCAGTCCATTCTACATTTAATACCATGAAGACTGAACAAACTAAGCCCTGGAATGTGACACAAAGAACAATAAGTCACTTATTATGTGTTTATATATGCCAATATGCACACATATGTATGCATATAGTTACATTTTACTTTAAAATAATTTAAGATAATCTATCACACTTGGTAAAAGGATTGCATAATCTATCTGGAAAAACAAAAACAACTATGCAATTATAGCCTGTAAAAAGAAAATAAATGAGAAAGAACAGTTTTTTTGTAAAAGAAAATAAATGAGAAAGAACAGTTCCAGCAAATACTAAAACATCATGAAAGTTAGTAATTAAAACAGTTTGAGTCTAAAAATAGAACTAACACATGGAAATATAGCTTCTCCTTAAGTAGTTGTGTTGAACGAATGCAAAGAGGGATAGTCTGTAAACGATGGTAGATTAAGCAGCTACTGAAAGAAAATCGAAATTAGATCCTTCATTTGATGTATAAAAAAGAATTATAAAGGTCTAATATTTGGACCTAAAAGACTGAGCCATACATGTTTTCAAAGGATACACAGGTATATACTTATAAATTTAGAGTGATGAAGGTCCAGAAATCATAAATGAGAAAAGAATGATAAATCTGAATAAGAAAACCCAGCCAGGCATAATGGTGCACACTTTTAATCTCGGCTGCTCAGGAGGCTGAGATAGGAGGATCACAAGTTTCAAAGCCAGCCTTGGCAACTTAATAAGACTCTGTCCAAAAACTTTTTAAAAAGGGCTGGGTGTATATCTCAGTGGTAGAGTATTTGCCTAGCATCATGAGGCCCTGGGTTCAATCCCCAGCAGCAGCAGCAGCAGCAGCAGCAGCACTACCACCACCACCACCACCACCACCACCACACACACACACACACACACACACACACACACACTCACAAATCATCATCATCATCATCATCATCATCCTTAGTTTTCATTTGGATAAAATAGCATAAACAAAATAAAAACATTAACTGTTAAGAAATATTTATTCATTTTTCTTTCATTCATTTGCTGAACAAATAGGAGACAGGCTTAGATCAATGGAATCGGGCTACAATGGTGAACAAGATAGATGAGATCCTTGCTTTGTTTATATTATAAAGAAAAGAAATCCATAAACAAGTGAGAAAAACATCCTATCATAAAGCTGGCAGGGCATTTAGGCACACTGATATGAGACTAGTGGCTCAGTGAGTATTTTAGGTTGAGGACCAAAGAAGAAGCTAAGACCTCATACAAMCAATAAGGAAATGACCAACCAAGCAGAACAAGGGTCAAAAATAGGAACAGGCAGCTCTTGAATAAAAGGCAGATTACCATTCAAATCATCATCATTTTTACTCAAAAAATTGAGTGATGAGATAAAAATTTTTCTATCATATTAGAAAAAAATCAGAAAACTTTGACAGAAAATCAGATACATTCAAGTGTACCTAGATAAGTGAAAAAGATAAGCRAAAACTAATTCTGTTTGTGGAGGAAAAATTAGCAGTAACCATCAAGATTTAAAATGTGCACATTTTTTGCATAAGTGTTTTTAAAGTACATATATATGATATAGTATATGGATATTTACCATTGTCATTGAAACAGTAAATGTTCAGGGAAAAATSTTAATGTCCACAAATAAGGACAACTTAGACCATCCACACAATGGAATASTATGAAACTGTTACAAAGAATAAGAGAGGTCTGGTTTGGGGGGTGGGCAGAGAGGGCCTATGAAGAAATCTCTAAATTATATTAAGCCATCAAAGGTAAATCCAGAGCATTTTCTTGTGATCCCTCCATATAAACAGAAAATATATGCATACATCCATTTCAACTTTTATACGTTGCCATACATCTTATTTAAAATGTTTTATGGGAAAATACATAAGAAAATGTTAGCTATAATTACCACTGAGTAGAGGAACTTGGAGGGCAGGGGAAGAAAGCTTTAATATCAGATAYAGTTTTTGTTTGTTAATGTTACAACTTATTACTTCTTCATTCCATCACTAAAGATTTACTGCCCAGATACTGGCCAAATTATGTTGTTAAATTATGTGCATCTATGAATATGTAACAACACATCCCATCATTATGTACAGCTACAATGCACCAATTAAAACAATGTGAAAGAAAAAAAGAATGTCCTGCCCACGTGGAAGGCCATTTGTTTCTTTCTGCTCTCTTTTATTTAAAAATTCCAATATATCTTAATATTTAGAGATGTAAAAGAGGAAGACTATTGTTATAAAGCTAAGAACTGGTAGGAAGGAAGAAAAGAGGAAAGGAAGAGAAGAACAGACATCATCCCATTATGAGGCAGGGATGGGTGACAACAGATAAAAATCTGGTGGGAAAGGGGACAGGGTGCTGATGAGGCATCACCATGCAAGAACATTGCTCTAGATGGCAGAAGGGAGGTGCTGGCATAGCTGCACTCAGGATTATTATAGCTAGCAAGGCGTATTTACTAGGAAAAGGACAGTTTTTTGTACCAAAAAGGTTACTTTCAAAGATAATTTGTTCCGCTGAACTGACAGCCACCAAGGATGTATCTGCACGCCTTATAAGCATATTCTTGGTTCATTTACTGGGTTCTCACATGGAAATGCAATATCTAGTTGGACAAATGCAAAATAAGTTGCTCTTGTTTCAAGGACTGAGCTGGAAACATTAAGAGAATCAAAACACTGTAGGCAGTGGGGAGATGACGTACAACATCGGAGACAGTGTTCCACTCACCACAAATTTGCTAAGCACCAACCACCTTCCAAACACTAGATTCGTGCTGAAGGCATGGATACAAATGAGACAGACCTCTCCACAAAAGAAATCACAGTATAATGAGGGAGGCAGACCCTGAGACCACTGTGATATGAAGCAAAAACAAATGCATGCTGAGCATGAGTTCAAACAATGATGTGGAAATACAAAGATGCAAACAAGAGAAATGGGTGTTCAGCATTTTATTTATATCCACCAACGCTCTCCAAGGAGAGGAAGCATGGCTTATCACTGTGCTACACAGCTCCCTACATTCAGGCAGAGCTCTAAACAAAGAAGGCACTTCAGTGAAACACCACCTTGGAGATGCCAAGAACAGAACTTCCTGTAAATGTTGTCCAGGTGATCTATGGTAAATGAGGACAACACTGCACACAGTGCCACTGCCTGCGCATGCCAGGGGAGGTGTGGGATAGCACCMAGGGTCTGTGCTTAGAGCCCAAGCTACCAGCAAGAAGTAGAGGGGTTGCCATCTTCCCATAGAGGTTGTGAGAATCAATGCTCTGGGCTCCAATTTGCTAGTAGTACCCTGCTCTATCCAAGGGTCAGCTACACAACAGACAGGTGAGTGCAAGTCTGATGGCTTGAGAAACCTGATGAGGCTGGAGTGAAAATCTTGCTCGAAAGCAACACTCTAGTATAGCAATTGAAGACGAAGATMGAGCCATTTTAAAATCATGTCTGAATCCCACTGGGGCATGTTCTGACATGGTTCAGCCTGACTGCTTCAAGTAAACATTAAAGTGCCATCGCCTGGCAGGACAAACTTCTCCCAGGAGAGGATGCTCTCTCAACTCAACAAGAGGAAAAGGATGGTGAAAGCAGTTTAAAAAGGAAAGGTCAAGAAGTTTTTTTTTTTTTTTTAAAAAAACTACTGCCTTTGAATGTTAAATCCAGGAGAACTTTTAGGGGAGGGAGAAACCTTAAAGAAACCCTGTTCTGAGGATCTTCACAGTGACACTCCCCTACCCCAAAGATGATCTTGGCTAGCAATAATGAGAAGAAAACAGGGAAACACACTCAAAATTAAGAGAAGACAAGCCAAATCAAAGGAAATAGATACTAATGGGTGAAGTAGGAAAATTTTTTTTAAAAAATAGCACAAATATGTCATTTTAATGTAAATATAAATAAATGCACTCCAGCTACAATAATCACATGTGTAGTTTTGTATCTCCCACCTAGAAATAATACTTATCAACTTTCTCCTATTTAAAAAAAAAAACACTTTTCTTTCATTAAAGTCATTGATTTAGTGTGAAAAGTGTAGATACTACAGAAACTATCAAGAAAAACAAAATAGCTGGTACAGTGGTGCACCCCTGTAATCCTAGCCTCTTGGGAGGCCGAGGCAAGATGATCATGAGTTCAAAGCCAGCCTCAGCAATTTAGCAAGGCCCTAAGCAACACARCAAGACCCTGTCTCTAAATAAAATACAAAAAAGGGGGGGGGGCTGAGGATGTGGCTCAGTGGTTAAGTATTAGGTTGAATCCCCAGTACCAAAGGGAAAAAAAAAGAAAAGAAAAAAGAAAAACAAAACAATCACTCATAAAATTCCCCACACAGAGATAAGCTCCTTTAACATGTCAATATATTTTCTTCTTGATTTACACACATAGATTATAACTTCTTATCACCTTGGGTCACATTTTCAGGCTTACCACGTGTTAGGCRTTAGGATAAATTCTACATGCTTTCTCTCATTTGATCCTAGAAACAAWGTCATGAGGCAAATAACATCACTATCAGCTCTAACAGATGAGGCTTAGAGAAATGAAGTAATTTGCACAAARTGCAATAAGAAAAGGAGGTAGGTTTTAACATTTGTCTGCACTCTGTTTTATAATCTATTTTCCATGTACGTGAGCATATTTCCATGTCATTAAAATATRGTAGTAACTGCTGCAAAGATTTCTCAACTCTTAAAAACTTCAAATCCTCTATCACTGAAAAATTGCTTCAAAGTTTCCATTAATCTCATTTTTAAAATGATCAAACTTGTACATCCATCTTGTATACATCTTTGCTTATTTCCTAAGAACTAATGTATACCTTTTAGAACTAACAYTTTAACTTTGAGGAAACTTCAGAATTTGATATTGCCAAAGAGAYTTCCAGTTTATTTTGTCCCTTGAGTTATTACTGGATGAGTTTGCAATAGTCTACATTAATAGCTACTAGTGTAAGTCCTTGCTCCAGAAAAGTGCACAAATGATTCACATTTTTTCTAGAGTTTCTTATTTAATTTCATAATTATTCTCCAGGTTAAAATTTAAAAATARTTTTTCAAACTAACTCAAGGTCCACTGAAAATTTTATTAGAATTGCATTAAATTCACCCTTAATTTGGACAGAACTATAATTACTGCAATATTGAGTTTTACCACTCAGGAGCATTAGCCATYTCTGCTGTATTCAAATTGATTTTTATGCATTATAGGAAAGCTTTTGTTTTTCAGCTATTGAGCAATTTTTTACATAGTTGGTCTTTGATGGGATCTTTTTTATTCCATTATATTTTTCTAATTAATTTTGCTGGTATTCAAGAAAGCTGATTCGTATGTATGTGTGTGTGTGTGTGTGTGTGTGTGTGTGTGTGTTACACATTTTGTAACCAAGTCTCCTTTATTGAAATCATTTCCTTCTACCATGTCTCAGCTAATTCTCCTGGTTTACAGGCAAATTGCTCTTGTTCATAAATATAAATATAATTACAATTGAAAAACTGATTTTGAATTTTTGTTTCTTATCAAGCTGGCTAAAATAATCTCCAAACTTTGTTCCAGGCAATATTAATAGTCTTCCTCCAAATAACTTTGCATTARGGGTTTCCCATCAAATACCTTTGAGAAGCACTAAGTTAGAATTTCCAGAATACCGATTCATGTAGGGATTGCAAACAACCTTATGTTTTTCACTGTTATAGAACCTCTAAAGATAATGTTGGTTATTGCTTTGGAAAATAGTTCACTGAAGTGTTATGGGTGTTTTTTTGTGTTGTTGTTTTTTTTTTTTTTTGACAAAAGTTAAAATTTATCAATGCATTTTTTTTTTTTACTAAAGAGATGGCCAAACATTTTTTTCTCTCATTTTTTTTCCTATTGCAGTGATAAGATATAATAAGTTATAGATGGCTAATTATCTTTGTATTCCTAGAATAAACTCTACTTTGCCTTGGTAAAATACTATTTCAGAGAAAAATTCCAGTAATTGAATTTTCTTTTTCTTTTTTTTTTTTGTAGTTGAATTTTCCTTTTCTTTTTTTTTGCGCGGCGGGGGGGGGGCAGGTTACTGGGGATTGAACTCAGGGGTGCTCAACCACTGAACCACATCCCCAGCCTTATTTTGTATTTTATTTGGAGACAGGGTCTCACTGTGTTGCTTAGGGTCTCACTAGTTGCTGAAGCTGGCTTTAAACTCACGATCCTCCTGCCTCAGCCTCCAGAGCCACTGGGATTACAGGCATGCGCCACTATGCCCAGCTGAATTCTCTTTCAGACCTCAATCTCTGTCCTTATAAGACCATGTATCTACAAGGGGTGTGATGGGGGGCACACACATGTACATGTGCTTCGTTTATCAGAGTATAACATCATGGGGATGACAGTTAAATAAAATACTAAAGTGTTTCATCTTTTCCTTAGTCTGAAACATTTATAAAGCACACATGGAAAAAAAAAAGTCTGTTCTTGAACAATTGAAAGAACTTGCTTTTAAAATTATCCAAGTTCAGTCCACTGGGGAAAGTAATTCTCAGAAAACTTTCCAAATCGTATATTTTCATTAGCCTTTGCGGATTTTAATTCTTTAAGTCATTTTATAGTTATATTTTCCTGGAAAAAATTTCACATAATCCAGATTTTCAATATATTTTCAATATATTAGCACAGTATTACCTGTAGTAATTTATATGTAATCTTTTCCAAATCTATGGTTCCAGTTCTTTACTTATAATGTTGTGTATTTGCTAATCTCTTCTCGATTAGACTTCCTGCAGATTTATTTTGACTTTATCAAAAAGTAAGTGGCTGGATTTTTACAACAGCTATTTCTTCAAGTTTTATTATTAATTTCTGTTCTTATCATAATTACTTCCTTCAGTATCATTTAATATTCTTGCTCTAAATTCTTGGATTGGATGCTTAATTCATTTCTTTCCTTTTTTAGTACTGAATGGATTRAAGTTTTAGTTTTCTTTCTCTGAGCACAGCTTTGATGCATTCCCCATAAAATGTTTTTACTAAAATTTTTTATGGGTTCCTCAAAAATTTTGTCACCCAAAATATTTTCTGATTTTTTTTTGGTGTTTTGCTTTCTAAACAACTATAAAATTAATAACCATGCAAAAATCAATAAGTGCAATCAGCCTATCRGAGATTTTAAGAAATTCCTGAAAGGTAAAGGGAAGATAGAATAAGTTACCTGGGAAAGCACATGCGTAGGATCAACTGGAGCTGAGTTGGCAGTGCTTCTGAAGGAGCTCTCAGAGGGAATGCTGGGGTGAYCAACTGGAGATCTGTATTGASAGCAGCCTGGTGGTGGGCTCTGTCCCCTCCCACTCTTCTGCTGCAYAGCAGGAAGCACCGACACAACTCTCTGGGTAAGCAGGAAAAGGGTCAGGAGAGATGGTCTCAGAGGAAAAGGGTAAGGTCCCTAGAACCCACTGGCCACAGGAAAAAAGAGGAGCTACCACACCCAGAAGACAAGCTCCTCATTCACCACACTTAGCAACATGTCCAAATAAACATGAGAAGAATCACCAAACGTTTGAGGCACAAAATCACGGGCAATAAAAAATTTAAAAGGAAAGACAAAAAAATATACAGCTAGTGTATTAAATATAAAACTTTAATGTTTTTATAGTTACCATCAATGGCGAAATGAGAAAGAATATTGTAATCYGAAAGCAGAACCCTGCTATGAAAAAGTAAATCAGTTATCTTGGTGAGTAAACAGATTTTTCAATACAGGTGCCAAATAAGTATGGCAGAGTTTTGAAATAATCTACTGAGTAGGATGACCTAGCTAAGGACTTCTACCAGAATAAAAGGAAAAAAAGGGAAGAGAGGAAATATAAGAAACAATGAAGAAATATGGAGAAGAGATCTGGAATGTCTGAAATCTATTTGATAGATGTCCCGAGAATGGTGAGCAGAGACAGTGCAGTGGAATAAACATAAAAGGGAAAAGGAAAACTGAAGAGATACACATATGTTCCGATTAAGAGAGACAACCAAAGGCTAGGCAAGATTAAAAACAAAAACACACACTGTAAAATTTCTTGTCACAGAGGAAGGGAGGGAGAAAAACTGAAAGAGAGGCAATAAATAAATGGAACCAGAGAAAATGCAACCAGAGAGTCTGAAAAATAAAATATCATTAATGAAAAGTAAATTATGAGACAAGAACACAAACGTGAAATTACACTAGCAACCATAATAAATAAGAACAAATCAAATCTACCTTTACTATAAAACTGAATAAAAGGAAAACCATCCATTTTGGTCACTAGAAATCTATTTTAAACCAGGTGACACAGGTTAAAATTAAATGAGAAAAGAAAATGCCACATAAATGATAACAACAARAACAAAAAACAGGTACAGGAAATATCAGAATGAGAAAATAAACCAAAAAAAAAAAAAGGAATCAAGCTGAAAAATCATTAAATGGAAAGAACAGAATACTTSAAATCAATAAAAAATCTATTCTGAAAGACTTTTGCTTTAGTCTCAATACAGTTCATGTCCATAGGAGAACCCATCACAATCTAGGAGAAAGGAACTCCTGCGAACCACTTGRGACTGAATCCTAGGGCTGGGATGGAGTCCCCTTTCTCTCACACACAGACTGTGCAAAGTGGGATAGATGCCTGAAAAAAATCAGGGTTGTAGGAGAGAAAGAGGCACTTAACATTATTATAGCTCTCTGAAGTCATCACTACCCATAATTCATTTCCTTACAACATTAATTACTATACAGAGGTGAATCACTATAAAACAAAATGTACAATGTTTTC